CAATAGCAGCTGTGCACTCCAGGAATTCTAAAATTTAGAATGATTCTACAGCAGATTCCTCATGGGGAAGGCTCGAACGAGCCTGTGGAGGGTGGCCATGAGCATGGTGGCGATGGAGTTCTGGAGGTTTTTGGCTACTGGGGCTCTGGTGGGGCGGGGAGGGAGACTCACCTGCCATCCTCTGAGCTTCTGGGCCCCATTTTTTGGGGGAGGGTCACACCTGGCAATGCACAGGGGTTACTTGTGGGTCATGCACTCAGGAATCACTCCTTGCGGTGCTCGGGGGACCATATGGGATGCTGGGGATCAAACCCAGGTTGGCCGCATGCAAGGCAAACGCCCTACCTGCTGTACTATCGCTCCAGCCCCTCTTCTTTACATTTTAAAAATCTATTTTTTTACCAACTTATTATTTAAAATATAATAGAACTTCAGGAATTCCTCTTAAGACCTTACCCCCATTGAAGTTGTAATTTTTTTATTGTTCTTTTGGGCCACAACCAACAGTGTTCAAGGAACATTCCTGGTGGGGCTCAGGGGAACTTATAGGGTGCTGGGAACCGAAGCCTGCTACTTGCCTGCTCTACTATCTGGTCCAACGTTGTAAATTATTTTTGTTGTTTGTTTTTGCTTTTTGTGACACACCCAGCGGTGCTCAGGGCTTCCTCTTGGTTCTGGGCTTACAGATCACTCCTGGTGGACTCGAGAGACCATATGGGGTGCCAGAGATCAAACCTGGGTTGGCCATGAACCAGGCAAGAGCTCTCTCTGCCGTGTTATCACTTTGGCCCCATATAATATTTTTTCTCATTTGTGAGGTCACTGAATGAGTGCAGTAGGGCTCAATATAGGACAGACTTATCAGTGCAATAAGCCACATCAGTAGGTCGAAGAGAGGAAAAGAACTCCAACCTCACATTCATGTCAATGTCTACAGAAAAGGTATTTGGTAAAATCTGACTGGTGACACCATAGGGGTCAGGGAAGGCACTTGCTTTATCAGAGGTGAGCCCTGAGTGCAGAGCCAGGAGTAAGCCCTGAGCACCACCAGGTTGTGGCCTCAAAAACAAAACAAACAACAAAAAAATAGAGCTAAAATTACATAGCTCCGAGGAGAAAACACAGGAGCAAGTTTTTATTTCTTCACAAGATAATTTGGCCTTGGTCATTCTCTGTTTTGAATCTGAGTTTCTTCCTCCTGTGCTCAGGAGCTGCTCCTGTGAGAGTGCTCGGTGTGCCATGTGTTTCTCAACCTCTTTCCAATGTTTTCTTCCAGCGCCCCCATCCTACAAGTTGCCCCTCTAGTCTTGTGCCATAACTGCCCATTTATGTGTTTTGTTTTTCTTTTTGGGTTACCCAGGGGTTACTCCTGGCTCTGCACTTAGGAATTATTTCTGGCGGTGCTTGGGGGATCATGTGGGATACCGGGGATCGAACCCAGGTTAGCCACGTGCAAGGCAAATGTTCTACCCACTGTATTATCGCTCCGGCACCCCATTTATGCATTTTCACCTGTGGCCTCTTGGAATATCAGTTGTGGAATACAGCCACAAGTAAGCACACACTTGCTCCCCGGCATTGGTTTCTCATAGAACACCAACCAAAAATCAAAAACAGAAGAAATAAATTATGCTTTATTAAACCTTAAAAATATTGGGACTGAGAGATGAGTTAGTTCAGGGAGCTTCTCACGCTGGAGGCCTGGGTTGAAGATCTAGTTCCACATGGTTCCCTGAGCACCAATGCTGGGAGAAACATCTGGTATGTCCGCCCCCTGCCCTCCCACCGAGAGGAAAAATCTGGAATTAGAGGAATGAGGCCAGGAAAGCTGAACAGGAAGGACTGGTTTCTTCCCATCCCCTACCAACATAGCAAATTTGCCCCAAAACTTGTATTGAAGCAGTTTCTGGTCTGGAACCCCAATAAGCAAGGCTTCCAGGTGCTGGAGCAGGTACAGCAGCCAGCGCACGGCAGGGGTAGATCACCAGCACCATATGCGGTCCCTTGAGCCCCACCAAGGGTAGAAGCAAGCTCCGGGCCCAAACCACCACCACCTCAAAATAAATAAATAAATAAATAAATAAATCACTGTCACTGTCCTCCCGTTGTTCATCATTTGCTTGAGCGGACCCAGTAACATCTCCATTTTGAGAATTGTTGTTACTGTGTTTGGCATATTGAATACATCATGGGTAGCTGGCCAGGCTTTCCCATGAGGGCGAGATACTTTCGGTAGCTTGCTGGGCTCTCCAAGAGGGGCGGAGGAATCGAACCCGACTTGGCTGAGCTGGCTGCGCGCAAGGCAAACGCCCTACCGCGTGCTATCGCTCCAGCCCAAGTAAATAAATAAATAATAAATAAATAAATTCATTCTTCCAGAGCAAGGCCAGGGGGCATTCTCCAGGTAGGAAAGCCAACCGCCAAAGAAAGAAACCCTTTTTTTGGGGCAGCAGGTTGCAACTTCGAGATTTCCAAACTATAGAAATTTTCCTTGGGGAAGCAAGTACACACAGCAAACCCTGCACCCCGACCCACCTCAGATGCAGGAGGCATGGCGGTGCTAGGGAATGGCTCTTGACCCGCACCTGGGTGAGTCAGGGTGAGTTTGCAGGCCACCAGATTGGATCAGAAGCTCTATAGTAACAGGCCCGCAGGCAGGGGCCATTCCTGACCGAGCTCCACCCCAGCAGAGGACAACTGTGTGAAGGATCTGCCCCAGGGAAATGCCCCAGAGCTCCAAGATCAGTGAGGGCCCGGCTTGCAGTGCAGCTCTCCTCACAGCTAGGACAGACACCCCCCCAGTGGGTAGGGCCTTGCTCATGGCTGACCCTGGTTTGATCTACATCACCGCACAGGGCCTCCCTGGCACTGCCAGGAGTGATACCTAATCAGCCTTGGCTGCACCGCCCCTGAGCAAAAGAGACAAGTTAAAAGAATTCCTAGTAGGACGCAATGGAGCCTCTTTTTACCGTCCGGTTCCCAGATGGGAGTTTCCACATTGCCCACCTGTGTCCGGGGCCTGCTCAGACTCAGAGCCCTTCCAGAACCCCCACCCCCACCTCAACTTAATGATGCCGCTGTGATTCCCCAGCTCTTTTATTATTGCGCTGGGTCGCACTGATCAGGCATTTTGCTGTCGGTGCCGCGTGGGGCCTGGAGTCCCACGTCTAGGCCGATCAGGAGCACCAAGCTGGGCCCAACGGTAGCCCGGGTCCTTCATCCCCCCAGCCCACAGCTGTCTGAAGCAAGGGGGCAGCTGGGAGTTATCAGGCGCCGCTACTCACGGCCGTTGGAGTGGGGACCGGGGGCGGGGCGCACCCCGGGTGCTGGGACAGGGGAAGGGGCGTGGCCACATCCACTAGGGCTCCCTAAGTGCCCGGAGGCGGAGGAAGAACCAATTTATGTGGTCAGTCTTCTGCTCTGTGATTATGTTCGCCTGGGGAGGGAGGTGGAGCGCCAGGAATCCGCTGGCTTCTTTTCTGAGGGCCGTTTGGCTCAAGGGCGCGCGGCTGTTACCCGCGGCTCTCGTGGCTTTGCAGCGGGGGTCAGAGTCCAGTCTTGGACAAGCCACACTCAGGAGGATGGAGCCCTGTGCGAGGAACCAGGCATTTCTGGTTCTGGTTTGCTTCTCATCTCGCCCTCAAACCCCATCGTCTGAACGCAGTTTGCAGGATTGCCAGGGGAGGGGGAGAACTCCAGGGAACAGGTGGGGTTTGTTTGATGCTGGAGATTCAACTCAGGGCTCATGACGCGCGCAAGGCAAGCGCTTGGTCACTTGGCCACCTCCCTCTGGGCCAAGTTTTTATTGCTTATAATTCCCTTTTCTGCCCAAGCGACTGTGCGGGGCGGAGAGAGCTTCACGGGCTAAGCACATTCCCTGGATGCGGGACACCTGGATTTGATTCTCCGCACGGCATGGACCACCCTCCCGCCCCTCCGCCAACGCTGCCTGGAACGGCCCCTGAGCACCAAACCCAGAGTAGTCCCTGAACTGCACGCGGTGGCTCTCCCGGCAACCGCACCCCTTCCTCCCCCACAAAAAAAAAGAAGAATAAGTAAAGGCGGGGACATTTGGTCAACAGAATGTGACATTAGATGCCACAAGTGGTTTTTTAAATTTATTTTTTATTAGTGAAATACCACGAGATACAGTTATAGACTTACACATTTTTGTGCTTGGGTTTCAGTTATACAATGATCAAGTACCCATGCCTCCACCAGCGCCCATTTTCCACCACCACGGGTCCCAGCATCCCTCCCACCCCTTATACCCCCCCATCCCACCCTGCCTCTGCCACAAGCGTTTTTGAAAGAGTCCGATGCTAAGGTGGCTCTGACGGATGCGGCTGTGGGTCCTCCCGGAGAACCCTAGGGAAAGGCAGGCCCTTTCCGGAGTCCCTCCGGAGGGCGTCAGCGGCAATGGACCGCGGGGAGCGCGCGGGCGGGACGGCGGTCCTGGAACCCCGCGGGACCTCTGAGCGGGACGAGAGAGGGTGGCGGTGCGGCCGCGGCTCCAACCCGCTCTCCCGGAGGCCCGCGGTGGAGACGCCCGGCCAGCGCCCTTCTGCCACCCCGAAGACGCTCACGGACGCTGGCGAGCCCGGACACTCTGGTGGAGGCCAGCCGGGCGCAGGCCGGGTCCGGAGGAAGCTGCTTCACGCCCCCGAGCCCGGCCCGGGCCCGGCGCGGCCGAGGAAGCGGCCGCAGCGGCGCGAGCGCAGACACGCGGCGCGGCGCGGCCCGCGCGCCCGGCGGGGCGGGACCTCGGCCGCAAGGCTCGGCCAATCAGCGCGCGGCCTGCGTCGGCGCCCGGCGCTCCAGTGACGCGCGCGCCCGCCCGAGCCCGCGGCGCTGGGGCGCCGGCCCCTCCCGCGCGGGCCCGGCCCGTTAGCTGCGCCCGCGCCTCTGCGCGACGGCCCCTGGGCGGCGGCGCGTGCGGGCGCGGCCCTGGTGCGCCCCCTGGCGGCCCGGCGGGGCGCTGCGGGCGCGGCGCTGACCCGGAGGCGGCGGCGGGGGTGCCCGGATGGAGGCACGTCATTGTCCCCCGCCGGGCGGCTGGGCTGTGTGCGGCGGCGGCGGCGGCGGCGGCGGCCGAAGGGGATGGAGCGAGCGCCGAGCCGGCTCAGGTAAGCGCCCGCCTCCCTCCCGCCCGCCGCCGGCCGGCCGGGGCCCCGCCGAGCGCCGCGCCCGCCTCGGCCGCCGCCGGCCCGGCCGCCCCGCAGCCGGCGCGGCCCGCCGGGGGCCGGCGCGGCCCCCCGCCCGCCGCCCCCTCCGCAGCCCGGGGCCGCCCGGGGACCCCGCGGCGCCCGGGTCCCGCCGCCGCCCGCCCGGCCGGGCCAGGCCGCTGGGGAGGGGGCGGCGGCCGCGGCGGCCGGGCGGCGCGCGCGCGCGGGGCGGCGCGGGGAGGCCGGACCCCCCGGGTTGCCATGGACACCGGCCTCCCGCCCCCACCGGCCCCCGCCCGCCCCCTCGGGCTGCGGGCCGGCCCGGCCGGGCGGCTCCGGGGCGGCCCGGGTGGGCGTGTGCCGGGCCGCGGTGCCCGCCGCCCCCCGCGTGGCCGCCGCGCCCGCCCCCCGGAGCCCCCCCACGGGCGCCCGCGCGGGCCCGGCCCCCGCCCCCGGCCGCGCCGCCCGCTGTCCGAGCGCCCACGCCGGCCGCCGGCGCCGGGGCCCGAGCCGCGTACCTGCCGGAGGTGGGGCGGGCCGGGGGGCGCGGCCGGGGGGCGGCGGGGCGCGGCGGCCGGGGTCCCGGGCGGGGGGCGGGGGCGCGGGCGGGCGCGGGCGAAGTTTTCCGATCGGGGACTTTCACCCCGCGCTCGTGAAGGCGGCGCGGTGACTTTTGTTGAATGGCCCTTTCATGCCCGGGGAGGCCGCGGGGCCGGCTGCGGACGGGGGACACGCCGGGGGGCGGAGAGCGGAGACCCGGGGAGCGGCCCCCTCTTCGGGGGGCGCCGCGCCGGCCGGGGGGCCGGGCGGCGAGTTCCAGAGCGGCGGCGGCGGCGGCGGCGCGCTCCTGCCCGCGGCGCTCATTCAAAGCGCACCCGGGGAGACGAATAATCAGTTTCGCTTAATTGTTTTTATTTGGGGTCAGTTTCACTTTCTCTTCCCTGTCATTGGAGTCAGCAGCGCCCGGGTCCGCAAAGGTTGGAGCCCAGGTGGTGTGGTTTGGGCCGCCCTGAAAGTCCCGAAAGTCAACGGAGTGTCTTTTTGTTTTTTGTTGGTTTTTTTCTTCTCTCTGTTTTTAAAGGTGGTCTCTTTTTCAAGGCTTTCTTTTTCTTTTTCTTTTTTTTCTCTTCCAAGTGGCGATGCTACGAGAACGCGGATTACATTGTTTATAAAGAAGAAAGAGTGTAACACTTTTTTACTTGTTTTGCTATTTTTAACCTCAAGGTATGTGGAGTGCCACAGTGTTTAAACTAGTGATTTTCTTCTAAATATGAAAAAGAATGGTGCGGTGCGGCATTTGGTCTCGGGGGAGACGCCGTGTGAGGGACTGAGAGGGTTCAGACTTTTGAATGAAAGATTGTGCTTGCAGCACAGGAGACATTTGTCAACTCAGTTCATCTCATTCCTTCACACACAGCCAACCTTGATTTCCCTGCTGGGGTTCTTTCTTTTTCCAACGTGCTTTTGTAACTTTTCCACATATCACCAGAAGATGTTGAAAGGAGTTTTAATTTACATTGAAGTAGTTGGCTAACTGCCCCGAGGTTAACAACAGGGCTGTTTAGACAATCTGAGAGAAGGGACAGCACTGTGGCCTCTGGGTCACCGTCTCCCTCCAAATGCAGCTAGGTCCTGGGTGCGTCCTGAGCCCACGCAGGGGTGAGATGTGGCCCAAGCTAGGTTTGATCCCGGCACGGGGGGGGGGGGGGGGGGGGGGGGGGGGGGGGGGGGGGGGAGCAAAGCACAACTCAGTGCTTTGACTGTAAAGATGAAAAATGGGGTTTTTGGTTTGTTTTCCCAAAACTTTAATGCTGTATCTTCTTGTTAATTTTTTTCACTTAAGATTCTTCCCCCCCCCCAAAAAAAGGTAACTAGAACCAGTCAAATGGTTTTATTTGGTCAGTTGTTAATGATTGTCCTGTTGTCCTGAAAGAATGTTTATTTTGGGAAAATCAGGTTCTTGTGATTTAAGGTTATCCTGAACCCTTTAACGGTTCCTTATTCCTCTATTTTGGGGGGTTTCTATCCTTTCCTCCTCTCCCAGCTGGAGTGCTGTGTTTTCTCTTGACTATCAGAGGAGGGAAGTATAAACTTTATTTGGGTAATATAGCTATATAGCTCAAACTTTCTTCCCCGAATGAAAGCTTGAGCTTTCATGCATCTTAGGTTGACTTCAGACTTCAGTTTTGTCAGGCTTATTAAGCTCCAGTTAACCTTTTTTTCTGTTTGGACCTGAATGCCACCAAAATTTCAAGATTGATCTTTCTGAGAAGTGAAACCATGTTAGTTAAACATCGACAACAAAATTTAGAATTTAAAAATCTTAGTGTGGGGCCACAGTGGTTGTTGAGCGGATAGGGCACTTGCCTTGCATGCGGCCGGCCTGAGTTTGATCCCCAGCACCCCATCTGGTCCCCTGAGTCCTCCAGGAGTGATTCCTGAGCTCAAGCTAGGAGTAAGCCCTGAGCACCTCCTGGTGTGGACTCCAAACAAACAAAAATATGAAAGAAAGAAATGAATAAAAACCTTACTGTGGGGGAGCTGAAGAGAGAGTATGGTGGAAAGGACGCTTGCCTTGAACAATCCCCAGCACCCTATGTGGTCCCCGGAGCACAGCGGGTGTCACCCCCAAAACAAAACCCTCACTGTGAGCATGCAGTGCCAGCAGTGTTTTTACTAAATTGAAAAAGATTTTTTTAATGCAACACCTTTTAGGTTATTCCTAATTGATAATTGTTTAAGGACCCAATGAGAGACTATAGAAATTGGTCCTAAAAGTAAACTCGAGTTCCTTTGTAGCTCCGGAATTCCTTCCTTCCTCCAGCTGCTGAGGCCTGTAGGGAAAGCCTTCTCCTGGCCAGGTGGGGGATTGTGCAGAGCAACAAGTGGAAGGGCTGCTGGACTGCCACGGAAACCAGGGGCTCAGGGGATGCAGGAGTTGTCTAGGAAAGGACCCAGAAATAAAATTGTGTGTGTGAGAGAGAGACAGACAGACTGACTGACTGACATTGGGAACATACCGGCTTCTGCTTGGGGGTTACTTCTTGCTCAGTGCTCTGGCATTGTTCTGGAGGGGACCTACAGTGCCAGGTACCAGATTCGGGGCTCCTATTTGCAGAGGGCTTGCGAAGGACTGGAATCCCCTTTCACTCCCGCTTCAGTTCTTTGGAGCAAACAGATTTTAAATTGAGTGGTGGGAATGGAGACTGGTAGGAGGTTGAAGGAATGGAAGAAGGTGGAAGTCCAGAAGCATCAGAGCTCAGGGACAGCATGTAGAGTGGGGTTAGGACTGTGCAGGACATTGCCAGGTCAGCTGGTGCCAAGCAGTGTCAGGGTGTGTGGGCATGCCTGGGGGCTTCCCTGAGGAGTGGCGTCTCTACATGATGGCCACCGAGCAGTTTATTTGGGGGTTGGGGGGGCACATGGAATGCTGGGGATGGAACCCAGGCCGACTGCATGCATGGAGGTGGCCCAGCCACAGTCATGGGCAAGTTTTGGACACATTCCTCAGAGGACTCTAATGGGGCCAGCATGCCCACTCCGGCTGGCCCCTGAGCAGGTCCCATGAGTCCTTTGATCTCTTACTGTAGGTCCATCATGGGAAAAAAGGTAGAGTGGGTCAGATCGAAAATGCCTAGCATGCGAAAATGCTCAGTTGTGGGCCTTCTAAGACTTTAGGAAAGGATCCTGAGAAACTTATAATTAAGTACTTTCAGAACATGTATGTTCATTTGATGCCAGTAACCGCTTAGTACTTTCATTTGAAAAACCGCAGAAATGTGCCCATTCAGAGAAGCGCACTTCAGAGCTGAAACTTCCCTATTGGAGAAGAAAGTTTAATGTCATTTTTTTGCACTTTATACTCAAAATTAAAGCTGAATTCTCTCTAAGGAATTGTGTATGAATTGAAAATCAGAATCTGAGTGCTTTAACATTCTAGTTGCTTAGAACTAGAGGGGTAATGTTATTAATCAAGGTACCCGGGTAAAAACTAAAGTATCTGATAGTGGGCATGACGTAGAGTGAGAAGTTCATATCAGATACCTCATTGAAGGTTTTGTAATAAAAAGATTGCAAAGTGTTCGAAAACACTCTTTGTTGTATTTTCGGTCACTGCTTGAAAATATGAATAATTAGAACGATCTTGAGAATCTGACAGTAATATCAAGCCAGTTCCTTTTCTTACCTTCCTGAACAAATGTGTGCTTTCCGTCTTTTGCAGAGTTGAACAATGACCATAGTTGACAAAGCTTCTGAATCTTCAGACCCCTCAGCCTATCAGAATCAGCCTGGCAGTTCTGAGGCTGTCTCACCTGGAGACATGGATGCAGGCTCTGCCAGCTGGGGTGCTGTGTCTTCCTTAAACGATGTCTCAAATCACACACTTGCTTTAGGACCAGTACCTGGTGCTGTAGTTTATTCCAATTCATCTGTATCCGATAAATCAAAGCCATCACCACAGAAGGATCAAGGTATGTAAGACTTCGTAAGAGACAGAATTACTGCAGGAACTCCTGTCTGCGGTTCCTCCGAGGGCTTCCCTGCAGCACAAGGTTCCACCTGAGTGGCCAGCGGCATCAGCAGTGTTTCATGAGCTTCCTTGGCTGCATCTTGGCGATTAATACCACCATGGTGTCTTCTAGTTACTCAAAAGTTTGTAGTTTCCTGTATTTTCTGATCCCCTTTCCCCACCTTGGCTTCAGGGATTAAGTCCAGGAACTCACGCATGCAAGGCAGGTGGTCTTCCAAGACACTCGACTATCCTCCTGGCCCTTTTTGTTTTTGGTTTTTGTTTTTGGCTCACACCCAGTGGTGTTCAGGGCTTCTCGCTCTGCACTTGGAGATCATGATCACTCGATCACTCCTGATGGGGCTTGGGGGGACCCTGAGGGGTGTCAAGAATTGAACCCAGGTTAGCCAGGTGCAAGGCACGTGCCCTACCCTCCATATATCGCCCCTGCCCTATGTCTCCTGATTTTTTTTGGGGGGGGGGGCACATATCCAGTAATGCATAATTGGGTTACTCCTGGCTCTGCACTTAGGGGTCACTCCTGGCAGTGCTGGAGGATCACATGGAGTGCCAGGGATCAAATCAGGGCTTGCCACATGCAGAACATGCACTTAGCCTGTGGAGCTGTCGCTCTGGCCCTGCAGGTGGTTATCAGTGTTTTTTGTGAGGGGGAGGGCCAGGGTTTGGTTAGCCATACTCGAAGGGACCACATGGTCCTTGGAACCAAACACGGTCTGCCTCATACAAGGGCAAGTACCTCAACCACCTCACCGTCTCTGTCATCCAAGGAATGCTGCTTTGCATTGATTTTTCTTGGGGGTACATCCTGCCATTCTCAGGGCTAACTTTTGGCTCTATGAAAATCAGGGATCACTTCTTGGGATGCTCAGGGAACCATGTGTGGTATAAGGGATAAAAACTTGCTTGGCAACCTAGCCTCAAGGCAAGTACCCTATCTGCCGTACTCTCTCCAGCCTGTTTTTTTTTGGGAGCATTTGCTGTTGTAGCTTTTCATTGCCTATTTAAGATCATCTGTAGTTGATCTTAGTTGAAAGAGGGCTGATAATAGAAGTGTTATATTTCTTCAAAACTCTCTCAAAGCGATAACATTGGTATGGTAATAAGTCATCCAGATAAAATAAGCCACTGAAGGACAGAAGGATAGTACAGTGGATAAGGCGCTTGTCTTGTATGCAGTTGACCTAGGTTCGTTCCCTGGCATCCCACTGGGAGTGATTCCTGAGTAAGCCTGAGGGCCAAGAGTAAGCCCTGAGCATTGCTAGGTGTGGCCAAGGGGGAAAAAAAGCCATTGACATTCTGTGTGGTGGAGGCGCACTCAGGGACAAGCTTGGGGACCTTGTGCTAAGGCATGAACCTGCCATTCCAGCCCCCAAAGCCATCCCCAGCCCAGCCTTTTGCTACTTTTCCCGGGTGCTTCTGAGACTTTGGATCCTGAAGCTTTGAGAAGCCAGGGTGGATGGAGTTAGCTCCCACCTGGAGCAGAGCAGAGGAAGTCGGGTAGGATGGCTGTGATGTGGGGAGTACATGCTTTGCTGACTGCATATATGAGGGTTCTGCATCTCAGCACAAAACACCTGACTGTGAACCATTGAGAGTGAGTCCGCACCAGGTCCCACTGGGCTGAGCGCGAGTTCCCCACAGGAATTTTTGGGGGCTCTTGCCTGCGCCCCCCCCTGACAAACTCGTTTCCTATTTCTGGCTTTGCACTCTTGTTTCCCGCCAGATCCAAGCACCCTTTTTCACATTAAACACTCGTTGATATCAGCTCAGTAGAAAATCATGGATGATTTGAAACTTTTCTTTTTCTTTTTCTTTTTCTTTTCTTTTTTTTTTTGGTTTTGAGGTCCCACCTGGTGTTGCTCAAGGCTTACTCCTGCTCAGGCTTAACTGGTGGGACTTAGGGGACCCTACAGGGTGCCAGGGATTGAACTTAGGTCAGCCACGTGCAAGGGAAATGCCTTACCACTGTACTACCTCTTCAAACACTGATTTGGAACTTTCCAAAATAAGTAGTTTCTTTCTTTGTTTTATTTTATTTTTTTTCTTTTGGGACCACACCCTAGGGATGCTAAGGGCTTACTCTTGACTCTGCACTTAGGACTCACTCCTGGGAATGCTTGGGGGACCCTGTGGGATGCTGGGGATCGAACCTGGGTTGCCTGCTTATAAGGCGAATGCTCCACCTGCTGTACTATCATTCTGGCTCCGATAAGTGTTTTTTGAGCTTCACCTGAATTCTGTTGACATAAGTGTCACTAGTGATTGGCTTATACATATTAAAATAGGAACCTTTTTTTATTTTTTGAGTTTTAGGGCCACTCTCAGAGGTTTTTAGGGCTTACTCCTGGATCCATGCTTAGGGATCACTCCTGGTGGTATTTGGGGGACTATATGGGGTGCCCAGGATGGAACTAAGGGTACTGCTTGCAGGGTAAGTGACTTACCCCTGTCCTGTCTCTTCAGCCCCATTGGAAAAGTCCTTGAGAGCATAGGGTCCATGCTTAGGAATGTGTCTGGTAGCACCGTAGCCTGAGCCTTAAGCCCATCTTCTTACTATGGCACAGGAGTGACACCCTCCTGCCCCTTCAGTGTGGTGCTCTTTTTTTTTCCTTTTTGGGTCACCCCAGTGACGCTCAGGGGTTACTCCTAGCTCTACACTCAGGAATTACTCCTGGTGGTGTTTGCAGGACCATATGGAATGCCGGGGATTGAACCTGGGTCGGCTGCATGCAAGGCAAACGCCTTCCCCGCTGTACTGTTGCCCCGGCCCACATGTGGTGCTCCTACGGCATGTGAGGGCAGGGAGGGAGGTGATGGCAGGGCTCTGGATGGGGTTCACACACAGGAGAAGCATGTGTGTCGGGGGAAGGGACTGGCTTCTGTACATTCTCTTAAGCGTGTTCTTTCTTTTCAAACCTTTTTTGGGGCGCAGGGGAAGGGTGTGTCCCAGCAGCACTGGGGAGATATGAAGGCGACAGTTTGACAGTGAATCCTGCCATCTGTTGCTGTGTACTCTCATATACACGCATGCACGCACACATGCACACATGCATGCACACACGCACGCAGGCACACGCACGCACCGACTATGGCCTCCACCTTTTTGCTCCTTAGTGCCCCACTCTCTGTGTCCCAAAGCCAAGACTTCAGATTTCATCTATGAGTGTTTTGATGTATAGCTAAAGAATTTAATATGTGTTTTTTTCCTGTGACATTTTATCTATAAGCTTTTCTTTTTTCTTTCTTATGAAGGTGTTGTGGGTTACAGAGTTATTCACAGTTGAGTTCCGAAATGGACCTACCTCATCACCGGTGTCCCCTTCCCTTCCGCCCCCTCCACACAGCCTGCATCTTTCACAGGGATTTTTTTGGTTTGATTATTTGTTTTGGTTTGGGGGCCATACCCAGAGATGTTCAGGGGTTAGGTCTAGCTTTGCACATAGGAATCCCTCCTGCAGAGGTTGAGGGACCGGACGGGATACTAGATGAAGCCTGGGTGGACCTCGAGCTGAGCGGATACTCTTCCTGCTCTACTATTGCTCTGGCCCCAGGGACACCTGGGCCATGCCTGGTGGAGCTGAGGGGACCATGTGTGGTGCTCAGGATGGAACCCGGCTCAGCCGCAACACAAGTGCCCACCACAAGCATTCAGTCTCCGGCCCAACAGACACATGTTTAAGTTTAGTTGTAGTTTGGATCTTATGATTTAGATATATATGTACACCACACCTCTGATTCTAAAAGTTAAAAACTTAGCCTCTTTTTGGGGCTGGAGTGATAGCACAGCGAGTAGGGTGTTTGCCTTGCACGCGGGCAGCCCGGGTTCGATTCCCAGCATCCCATATGGTCCCCTGAGCACCGCCAGGAGTGATTCCTGAGTGCAAAGCCAGGAGTAACCCCTGTGCATCACCGGGTGTGACCCAAAAAGCAAAAAAAACAAAAAACCAAAAAACCCCAACTTAGCCTCTTTTATTTATTTTATTCTCTTGACCATGTCTGGCAGTGCTTAGGGGCTCGACCTGGCTTTGTGTTGGGGAGTCACTCTGGTGGTGCTCAGGCCACCATGAGGAGCTAAGGTCAGTCCTGAGCAGGGCATGTCCTCCACACCCTCTTCTGTTGCCCTAAAGTTTCTTTCATCTTGGAACCTTTTTTGTCTTTATGTCGATTTAATAGGGAAACTGATGGCTTAGCGCCCCATCTTCTGGATCCGAACCTTGTTCTTCTGGCCCATTCTGGTCTCTAGTGACCATCTTTTTATTTATTTATTTATTTTTATTAATTTTTATTAGTGAAACACCATGAGGTACAGTTGTCGACTTACAAATTTTTGTGATTGGGTTTCGATTATACAATGATCAAATACCCATCTCTCCACCAGTGCCCATTTTCTACCACCATGGATCCCAGTATCCCTCCCACCCCCATCCCCCCCATCCCACCCTGCCTCTGTGGCAGGGCATTCCCTTTTGTTCTCTCTCTCCTTTTGGGTGTTGTGGTCTGCAAAAGAGGCATTGAGTGGCAATCATGTTCAGTCCATACTCTACTTTCAACATGCATCTCCCATCCTGGGAGGATCCTCCAAACCCTTTATTTGGTGCTCCCTTCTCTATCTGAGCTGCCCTTTCCCCTAGAATGCCCGGCTGGCCTCTAAGCCATGGAGTAATCTTCCTGGTACTGGTCTCGGCTATTCTTGGGTATTAATCTCCTATTTTGTTACTTTATGTCTCCCAGATGAATGCAATCTTTTTATGTCTATCCCTCTCTTTCTGACTTATTTCGCTTAGCATGATACTTTCCATGTAGTACCACTTGTATGTAAATTTCATGACTTCATCTTTTCTAACAGCTACATAGTACTTCATTGTGTAGATGTACCAAAGTTTCTTTAACTGGTCATCTGTTCCAGGGCATTCAGGTTTTTTCCAGATTCTGGCCATTGTAAAGAGTGCTGCAATGAACAAACAAGTGCAGATGTCACTTCGACTATACATTTTTGCCTCTCTGAGATATATTCCGAGGAGTGATATTGCTGGGTCAAATGGGAGCTCAATTTCTAATTTTTTGAGAATTGTCCATACTGTTTTCCAAAAGGGTTGAACTAGTCGGCATTCCCACCAACAGTGAAGGACTGTCCCTTTCTCACCACATCCGCGCCAGCATCGGTTGCTTTTGTTCTTTTGGATGTGGGCCAGTCTCTGAGGTGTAAGATGGTATCTCATTGTGGTTTTGATCTGCATCTCCCTGATGATTAATGATGTAGAGCATTTTCTCATGTGCTTTTCTGCCATTCGATTTCTTTGAGAAAGTTTCTGTTCATTTCATTGCACCATTTTTTGATGGGGTTGGATGTTTTCTTCTTGTGGAATTCAACCAGTACTTTATATATTCTTGATATCAACCCCTTGTCAGATGTGTATCCGGCGAATATCCTTTCCCATTCTGTAGACTGTCTTTGTATTTTGGGGTGACCATCTTTAGGGCTTTGATCAGATTCACGCTGGATGAGTTGCTGGTCAGCCTCAGAAACGTGCATGGTTTTCTTTTTTTTAACTCTAGTCTTCTTTCTCTAGCCCTAGGTGATGGCATTGCTCCTCCACAGAAAGTTCTTTTCCCATCTGAGAAGATTTGTCTTAAGTGGCAGCAAACCCACAGAGTCGGAGCCGGGCTCCAGAACCTGGGCAATACCTGCTTCGCCAACGCAGCCTTGCAGTGTCTGACGTACACGCCACCCCTCGCCAACTACATGCTCTCACACGAACACTCCAAGACCTGTAAGTGCCCTGCACTCAGCCGCGGCTGACCACTCCCCTTCCCCTTCCCTTTGAGATGAAAGTGAAGACTTAAGCCAAGGAAACAGCAAAGTCAGACTCTGAGTTCTATTCGAATTTCCTACAAAAAAATTTATACTTCAGGGGCTGGATCAGTAGTACAGCTGGGCAGGCGTTTGCCTTGATCCAAGTTCAGTCCCTGGCATCCCCAGATACGATCCCTGAGTGCAGAGCCAAAATAAATCCTGAGCAGCACGGGACATTGCCACAGAACAACAAAATACAATTTTGTACCTAAGTTGATTTGTGAAGTTATTTAAAAAGGTTTTGTCAGCACCTGGCATTTCTGAGCTCCCTTTCTGACTTTCTACGTAAATGACGGGTGCTGCCGGCCAGTGTCTTGGGCCTCGCTGGATGAAGAGTCCCAGAGGTCGGAGAGGTAGTACGGTGGGGAGCATGCTGGCTTTGCACACTGTCCGTCCCCCGAGCCGGCTAGAACTGAACCCTGAGCCAGGAGTAAGCCCTGAGCACCGCCACTTGTGAGCCAAACACCAAAAGAGAAAAGTTTAAAAAAACCCTCTCAGGAGCCAGAGTGATAGTACAGCGGGTAGAGCATTTGCCTTGCATGTGGCCAACCTGGGTTTGATCCCCAGCACCCCATATGGTCCCCCAAGCACCACCAGGAGTAATTCCTGAGCACAGAGCCAGGAGTAATCCCTGAGCATAGCTGGGTGTGACCCCAAAAAAGGGAAAAAATAAAACCCTCTGCCCCTCCTTATAGCCCCATGTGGCCGGGCTTGTGGGCCTTGCTGTCCCATCTCTGGAAACCATCGCGGACTTTTCCTTCAGCTAGGAAGAGCTCAGTTTTCAACCAGAAGGGTCATTAACGGTTGTGTGTGTGTGTGTGTGTGTGTGTGTGCGCGTGTGCGTGTGTACATGTGTACATGCATGCATGTGTGTGCGCGCGCGCGTGTGTGTGTGTTCAGGTGCTATTTAGTAATTACCAGCCTTGTGTTTTATTTTTGAATAGTTGTTTAATTGATGGAGAATTTACTATGGTTCTTTTAAAACTCTCCCTAGTTTTAAAATAATACTTGTGAAAAATTTGGAAAGTATAGAAATTTTAAAGAAAACAGGAAAATCACTTAGAATCTCACTGCCTAGAGGTATTTATTTTTATATGTAGTAGTTTTAAATTATAGGGGCTGGAGCAATAGTATAGTGGGGAGGGCATTTGCCTTGCACGTGGCCGATACAGCTTCGATCCCAGCTTCCCATATGGTTCCCTGAGTGCTGCCAGGAGTAATTCCTGAGTGCAGAGCCTGAGCATCACCAGGTATAGCCTAAACAAACAAAGTAGTTTTAAATATTCTCTCCATTTCTGAGCCCATGGCTCCTCCCCGACAGACAGCCTTTTCTCACTTCTGTGCTTAATGAGAGGAGGGTGTGAATAGAGACAGCAGTAGCACCTGATGACAAGAAGAGAACCCATGGGGGTGGAGATAAGTACTTGGGCAAGGTGCTGGCCTTGCATGTGGGGTCCTGGTTCAATCTTCTGTATCATGTATGGTCCCCCAAGCCCCTTATGAGTGATCCCTGAGGATAGAGTCAGAAGTAAACCCTTGAGCATGGCCGGTATGGCCGAAGAACAAAACAAGAAACAAATTCAGATGTACTACTGTTTAGGATTAGGGGCCTAGCTTATGCCATTGGTAGTTTCTGTTTTTCAAGCTTGATTGAGGTTAATTTGATATACCATAAACTGTACTTATTTAAAATATACAATTTGGTTCATTCTGACATTTGTGTTTACTTACGAAACAGTTACACTTAATAAAGTGAGTATATTGGCTAGAGCAATAGTACAGAGTAGTGCGTTTGCCCTGCTTGTGGCCCACCCAGGTTCAATCCCCAGCACCCTGTGTGGTCCCTGATCAGAGTGCAGAGCCAGGAGTCAGCCCTGAACACATCCTGGTGCGGCCCAAGAAACAAAGTGAATATGTTGATCCTCCCATTGAAGTTTGTCAGAGCTCTTTAGAAGCCACTCTTATCCCTTCTGCTTTGACTACCTCTGATACACTTTCTGTCCACACTAGGTTAGTTTGACTTATGTTTTGTAGAATATCATCTAGGTGGAAGTATATGTGCACATTCTCATATTATCTCCCTTCTTTCAGTCACCCAGACAGTTCAGGATTATCCATGTAGGTGACACGTATCTGTTGTGGTTGCCAGGGTGTTCCCTCAGCCCCCCACCTGTTGATAGACAGGTTGGTTGGTTTTCATTTGGACAAATAAAGTTGTTGTGGGTGTTTGTCAACAAGGGTTTTTGTTTCTGTTTTGCCCCTGCCTCTCCCTCTGTGCTCAGGGATCACTTCCGGCATGGGATGCCGGGGATTGAACCTGGGTTGGCTGCCTGTAGAACACGCCCTACCCTCTCTGGACCCTCACTGCCTTTTTCTTTCTTTCTTTTTTTTTTATGTAGGAGTACTGCTATTTATTCAGCCACTGATTGGCTGATTGAATTGTGCATGAACTCCACCTTATTTTTTTTTTCATTTTTTATAATTTTATTTATTGAATCACCATGAGAGCAGTTACAAAGCTTTTGGGTCTAAGTCTTGGTCATACAATGAAACACCCATACCTTCATCAGTGCCCATTCTCCACCCCCAACAACCCCAGTATACCCCCATCCCACACCCTCCCCCTACCTGTGGAGCAGATGATTTCCACATTACTCTCTCTACTTTGATCACATTCAATATTTTGACACCAGACCCACCATTATTATTTGAGATTTTACCCCAACACTCAGATCTGCTGAAAAGGCAACAGTAGACAATTGTTTTCTATTGCTGGTTATGAATAACATATGATGTCACGTGGCTGCAGTAGTGGCCACGCAATTTTGAAATTCTGAAATTTTAACACTTAAATCTGGAGGGATTTCTGCCAAAACCTGCTGGGTTCCGAGATTTGCTCCTGAGTCTCTGGGATCATGGCCATTAAGAGCTTGATCAGGAGCCAGAAAGGTCATTCGTGGATGATGACTTGGGGTCTTGTTGGGGTGGGGAGGACAGGACCGGCTCCACCCCCATCCTGTGAAGCCCAAAATGTCTCATCACTGCAGGCCCAAACCTGACTGTCTGATGGCCTCTGGAGGATGGTGGCCACCGAGCCACCAGTGGAAGCAGGCGGAGGGACAACACCCTTTCCCCCCTGGGTTGGCCTGGCGACAGTAACTTACTGCGTGGTCTGGACGCATTTCTGCCAAAAGCTGCTGGGTTTTGAGATTTGTTTCTGAGTCTCTGGGATTATGGCCAGTAAGCAGCTTGATCAGGAGCCAGAGAGGCCGTTTGTGGGCGATGACTTGGGGTCTCGTTGGGACAGGGAGGACAGGACCAGCTCCACCCCCATCCCGTGAGGCCCAACAAGTTTCGTCACTGCGGGCCCAAGCCTGACTGTCCAATGGCCTCTGGAGAATGACGGCCACTGAGCCGCCAAGGAGGAGCAGGTGGAGTGACAACACCCTTTCCCCCCTGGGGTGACCCGGCAACAGTAACCTACTGTGGAGTCCGGATGCATTTCTGCCAAAAGCCGCTGGGTTTCAAGATTTGTTTCTGAGTCTCTGGCCAGTACTTACCCTGGCCGTTAAGCAGCTTGATCAGGAGCCAGAGAGGCCGTTCGTGGGTGATGACTTCGGGTCTCGTTGGGGTGGGGAGGACAGGGCGGCTCCACCCCCATCCCGTGAGGTCCCACGTGTCTCGTCACTGCAGCCCCAAACCTGACTGTCCAGTGGCCTCTGGAGGATGGCGGCCACCGGGCTGCCAGGGGGAACAGGCCAAGGCACGAAACCTATTCCCACCTGGGTTGGCCCAGCACTGGTAACCTACTGCAGGGACCGGAAGCATTTCTGCCAAAAGCTGCTGGGTTTCCAATAAAAGAGAGAAAACAAAAGGGAATGCCCTGCCACAGAGGCGAGGTGGGATGGGGGGGCATGGGAGGGATACTGGGATCCGTGGTGGTGGGAAATGGGCACTGGTGGAGGGATGGGTATTTGATCATTGTATAATTGAAACCCAAGCACAAAAATTTGTAAGTCTACAACTGTACCTCATGATGTCTCACTAATAAAAATAAAAGAAAAAAAAGAAAAGAAAAGGCTGCTGGGTTTCGAGATTTGTTTCTGAGTCTCTGGGATCATGGTCGGCCATTAAGCTCCTCCAGGAGTGACCCCGGAGCACTTCAATCAGGAACCAGAGAGGCCATGCCTCCAATTATATAGCTGAGCCGGCGGTGGTTTGTGGGTGTGTCTCCCACATACCTAACTTTTGGCCATTTACTTTATTGGTAAACTTTGCCCCAAGTTTTTGGGGTCTGGCCAAAGGCACAGAAGCAATTTTGGGGTATCTGGAAGTCTGAAGGCGCCATCAGGCTGCTGATGCACTCGCCTCACAGGTACAGATTGACCTGCTGGCGGCACCATACCCCCTCGCTGCCTTTTTAACATGCATTTCCCTAATTAAGAAGCAGTGATGTCCTGCTTCTTAATCTTGCCACTGTTTCCCTTGCTGTTTGGGCTTTACTTATGAATGGGATTGTTCTCTTAATTTCTCCTCATAGTTTGCATATGAAAACATAGTTTATATGTTGATTTATGTTTGCTGGCACCTTTTTAGGGGGTTGTTTGGGCTCCATCTTGTGGTGCTCAGGGCTGACTCCTGGCTCTGTGCTCAGGGGTCACTCCTGGTGGGGCTCAGGGAACCATATGGGGTGCCGGGGATTGAACTTGGGTTGGACACGTGCAAGGCAGATGCTCTACCCACTGTACTGTCTCTCTGGCCCTGTATCTTGACGTGTTATTGAACTAACTTCATTTCTTTTTTTCTTTGCCCCCCCACCCCCTCTCTTTTGTTACCCTCAGCAGTACTCAGGGTTACTCCTGGCTGCACTCAGGAATCACTCCCGAGGGATCATTCCTGGTGGGCTCCTAGGGCCAC